ACAATGTTAGATGACCTGATAGAGTTTATTGTATAGAATATGATTGAATACAAATAAGGTTAGAATGAGTTGAACTGAATTGAAGTGAAATGTGTTGAGTTGTATTATATTGTGTTGTGCTGTGTTGATTGAATCTTCACTAATATGTCTGCTTTTTTATTTAAATAAAGCTGTGACAGAGAACTAACCATATAAGTATGCTTCTTTTACAGAAAGATAACTTGGCAGTAATACTACATCAGATGAACAATATGTTGATAAGCTGATTTCCAAATACTGGTTGATATTGTATGAAAAGCTGTAAACAATGGAATTCAACCAGTTATTCACCACAGGCAATCGAAGATTTTAACATAATATCTTGAATTTATTGAAGTTAGATATGTGCACTAATTGATTCTGTCTTAGTGATCTAGAGTTTAAGCATTCATGTGCGAATCTGAAAGTCTTAGATGTCATTCTCAGATGCAAAGTGATGAATATATATTTCTGAGGTGTCCCATATTAGAATAGAATCATTGTCCAGTGTTTCAAGGTTCTCAGTGATGGTCTAACTGATATCAGTTCGGGAATCAAACTATGAAAATTCGTCAATCTCCATAAAACACACTATATTCATACTATGTATAAACATTCCATACTGAGCCCCCAAATAACCTGGTATGGCCGAGAGTGAGGAGAGTCCGCTCTCCCTCTCGAAATGCCCTCACATTGCCACGTGTATATAGCCTCTGCCAGCGAATTCCTGCTCACTGCCTTCTCGTGGAGGGGGTGTTGTTTACGAAAATGAGAGGACGAAAAGCGAATGTTTGGCGCTCCAACCGGATTCCAAACCAATGGTGCACATGGGCTCCAGTATCCTGAGGGAACAAACAGCGTACGAACCACTTGCTGGTCACCGGCTACCATGGAACTGTATCTCCTCACGATGCTCCACTGCCTCGTGGGTCAGGTTGAGGGCTCCGGGTGTGGCCCCCTAAGATAACCACCTGCTTCGGTTTTGGCACGCGGGTAGTATCACAGCCCTCACACATATCGAATGAGATTTGTGTGGCGCATATGCATTTAGTGCCTCCTTGTACCAATATCTATATGTTAAAATAAATAAATAAATGATTCCATACTGACCGAAATCAGTTGATTTGAATGTTAGTGGACTGTGTGTTATTTGGTTGTAGTATGCTCATTTTCATAGTGACATCAACTTCAGTAAATCGTAATCCAATATCATTGGTTGATCTGTATTCTGAATTTACAAAGAATTTCGTCTAGTGGTCAGTTATTTATTATCTGAAATAAACTACATTGAGATGGTGGAAAAGCTTTATAGCTCAGGTGGATGATTTTGATGGAGTTTTGTTCTCCGAGCTGGATGGTTTGGCCGTGGAGCATAAGCTTCAGGTAGAAGTGAAGTGTTCGAATTTCTCTACATATGGTTCACAGCTTGTCCTGTAGTGCTGATGATGTCGTTCAGAAGTATGATTAAAGCTCCACGGCCAAACCATACAGCTCAGAGTACACAACTTCATCATAAACTACATTATTTTATTTATATCGATTTTAATCTTCTCGTTTATTGATGTTAAACACTTTGATTGTGTATATTTAAATCTTCAATGAAGTACCGTTATAATATCATTAAATTATAAGTTTCTGAGCAAAGTGGAATTGAGGTAAGTGTCCTTGATTCCATCGTTAACTATCGTACAACTTTATTTAAAAATTACATTGTGTTTTTGAATGTTCATGTTAATTTTTTCAAGTTGGTTAGTAGAATGTGATTCTGTAGTTGCTCTCTATTCAACTGTTTCGGAAGTAATTACATAGAATGCAATGCATCATCCTACAGATCATTTCTAAGTTGTTTGATTCTAATAGGTTCTAATGATCACTTCATGACATAAAATAAAACAAATTGAATACATTAATTTATGTATAAACTGATAGATAACAGATATTGAATGATTGTTTACCGATATATATATATATATATATATATATATATATATATATATATATATATATATATATATATATATATATATATATATATTACAGTGGACATCTTGGATGCAGCTGGACGATCTAGACTTCGCAGATGATCTGGTCCGCCCATCGCACACGCAACAACAAGTTCAGGAGAAGACGACCAGTGTAGCAGCAGCCTCAGTAGCAGTAGGTCTCAATATACACAAAGGAAAAAGCAAGATTCTCCGATACAACACACCATGTACCAACAGAATCACATTTGACAGAGAAGCTTTGGAGAATGCAAGCACCTATACATATCTGGACAGCATCAGTAATGAACACGGTGGATCTGATTCAGATATGAAGGCACGGATCGGCAAAGCAAGAGCAGCATATTTACAATTAAAGAGCATTTGGAACTCAAAACAACTGTCAACCAACACCAAAGTCACAATTTTCAATACAAATGTCAAAACAGTTCTACTGTATGGGGCGGAAACTTAAAGAACTACGAAAGCCGTCATCCAGAAGATACAAGTGTTTATTAACAGTTGTCTACGCAAAATACTTCAGATTCATTGGCCAGGTACTATCAGTAACAGCCTACTATGGGAGAGAACAAATCAGATCCCAGTGGAGGAAGAAATCAGGAAGAAGTGATGGAAGTGGATAGGACACACATTAAGGAAAGCACTCAACTGCGTCAAAAGTCAAGCCCTCAATTGGATCCCTCAAGGCCAAAGGAGACGAGGAATACCAAAGAACACATTACGTCGAGAGATGGAGACAGACATGAGAAGAATGAACAACAATTGAATAGTAGTAGAAAGGAAAGCCCAGGACATAGTGGGCTGGAGAATACTGGTAGGCGGCACAGCTCCATTGGAAGTAACAGGCGTAAGTATATATATATCATATCGAAGTCATTATGACACTAACTCCTTACAAAATTTATATGGTGGGAAATAATGATCCACAATTTAGTACATTCATAGTCATTTTTTCAACGTTGAACAAAAAATGTTACGTAATCTAAGGTAAATCATCTTACCAGTATGAAAGACTTCCTAATTAGTTCATTTTTAATATCTTTTAGAACCAAGTTGTAAAACAGATTCTAAGGGGATATTTAACTATGCAAACATATCAAACTGTTTAAAAAAGGGTTCATTTTAATCAATAGGAAATTCTGCCACTCAATATACCGTTAACTCTACATTCCACCGGTGAAGTTCCAAACTCTATAGGACAAAATATAGTTCATAAGAAATACTGCAATCAACACATTTTTCGCATAATATTGCAGTTTTAAGCTATTTTTAAATAAATATTTATTTGAAAATTCTTTATTAATATTGTGATATGTGCTACTGATGTCAACAAATATAAGTAGTATGTATTATCAAACAAATGTGGAATGCCTAAAGGCAGAAGATTGAGATGATCGAAGAGAAGAGAACGAGAACAGAGGGTGATTGATATGGAAGTGAAGGAACAATAAAGTTCGAAACAATGGATAGACATTTTGCAAATGAAGTATTTACTGTATGGTTCTCAGGTTTTACTAAGAGATTCTGTAATTTCTTATTCAAATACACTTGGTTGTACCCATATCTATTCTCATCCACTATAATATAATGACAACACCATTGGTTTCAAAAACATTAGTAATTCACTTGGTATTGTTTACTTGAATCTTCCCGTTGATGTTTAGGACTGCAATTGATCAATCTCTTATTGACATATGTGCGTATTGTGCGAATTGCCTCGATATAGCAAGTGTCTGTCAGAACTCAGTAGCTAAGTGGATAACGCGTTGGCGTTTGAAGCGAACGGTACTGGGTTCGAGTTCTAGAGTGAACATCAACTCATGCAGGTTCATCCAGCCGAGGAGTCCCAAATAAGACAAAACGCGCGTCCTGGATTTCACTACTAACCACTATCCATTTATAGTAATTGTTAGGTAATATCTATATATTCTAACAAATCGTTCATAAAGCTATAGAACACTTTCTGAAATTTGTCGCGAAATTCACGTTAAATTTTGCATTAAACGAATTAGGAAGTACTGACCATTGAAACATGGAATTCTATTACAGTAATTTATGGATAAAACATTAACTTCTAGACCTGATTGTATTATATTTAATCCCTTTAAGTGAAATTCATGACAAATACGTTAACTACTCCTTCGTTTCACAATGGGGGTCTAACTAAAATCAGTTTGTGACATAAACTATTTTCAACATCATATCGAGGCAATCCGCATAGGATGCACATATGCCAACATGAGACTGATCAATTGCAGTCCTGAATAACAATAGGAAGATACATATAGAACAACACCAAATGAAATCATATCTAAAGTTATCTGAAATCATTCTATCATGATTGTACAATACTTATTAGAAAACAAAAACACTAAAGAAAAAACACTGTAACTATCTAGTTATAAGCAAAAAATCAATATTTTGTTATTCTCTATAGCAATTAGTGGTTTACTTATTATTTTTTTCCCATCTCCCTTCTCTTTCTCAACTAATCATATTCAACAGTTTGAATAAATAAATCCTGCTGTGATATGAACTTTAGTCAAAACATAAAGAGTAAAATAATTCCATAATACAATGGGAAAAATGGATAAATATAGTCAAAGAACAAAATAATCACTAGTAGTTAATAAATAAACAATTCAAGTATAACTGTCTACAACTCAATACATTCTTCATGGGGTGTAGGGTGTCAATTTCGACAGTCGGTTAGTATTATTATTATTATTATTTGTATTATAGGAAACAATGATGATCATATTGATAAGTAAACTGACAAAAAGAATATAAAACATACAGAGAAACATGTCACATGTCAGTCTGTTTTCTTCTGTAATGAAATTAATTGGTTCAGTTTAAAAGGAAATAAACAAATATCAATCATTAAAGTCAATTAGCCAAGATTTTAGCCGTTAGTTACAATGTTTTAATGTATATAACCTTGAAATAATCATAATTCTATTTATTTCAATAGATTGTATGTCTTCTTCTTCTCTTTCGACTACTACTACTACTACTACTACGACTACTGCTACTACTACTGCTACTACCACCACTGCTACTACGACTACTACTACTACTACTACTACTACTACTACTACTACTACCACTGCTACTACTGCTACTACTACAACTACTGATACTACTACTACTGCTACTACAACTAATAAGTATTAATTTTGTAAGATTTAGGATGTACAAGGGATGGAAGAATAAGCTTAATAGGATGTAGCGTATTCATGCATAGATGAAAGATTAGAATTACATTGATAGCACGTAGTTGTTTTCTTTCAAAACAATCTGAAATAAAATAAACATGACATTTCAATCTGAAACAAACACTTTCCTTTAAATGAAATGCTAACTAATTTTAGAGATTGAGATAGATAAATAAAAACTGTATTAGATAATTGAGAATGAAATAATTTTAAAGGATAAATGTAATCAGCAAGACACCGTTGACATGGGTTTCATGCTTGTTAAGACTCCTTGGGAGGGACATAGTTGCAAGCATAAGTGCAACAATGGTTACTGTGAGATTGGAATTCATCTCATTTAGCTTCACCATCCGTAAAGTCACTGATGAACCAATCAGGCTACGAATGACTTCGTGAAGAACTAAAATATTTACAATTGATCGATCACTGACTGGTACACAACATTATATATGCTTAGTACTTTAGTGCTGATTAAATCATATCGATATTAGCCAGAGAACGGTCGGAATACCGAGAAGTAATGGACAGCTGTTTCATTTTGGTTTCAAAGTAATAGCAGTACTCACCTACAAATAATGAATATAATAACTTTGAACCACAGAGTTACAGGTCACCAATCCTCATTTCTAACATCAGTTACAAACATTTTATAATACCATAGGTAATATCTGTTACACTCCTGAGCTGAATGAACTATCCGCATGCTTTATCTAATGATTTTCAAAATAATTCACCTATGAGGGATTTGTGATACTCTTCGTTGTTAATGTTAAGGACTAAAATTAATCAAACTCCTTTAAAGTATGTACTCCTTGAGCAGATTGCCTCAGTATTTTCATTAAGTCATGATTATATTAAGCAGAGTTCAGTGACTGTTAAATAAGATGAAACATATATCCTGAATTTTACTGCTCACGCCTACCCACCTTCTTAATATTGTTAGCAACGTAATGATAATATCTAGATGATCTACACCAGATCCACATATCAGTTCTAATCCTTAGCACCAACAACGAGAAAACCCAAACAACTCTCATAAACAAATTAAAATTCATCTTTTACACAAGTTAGTGGCTATTTGGATTCAGTAATTAAATGCATGATGAGTTGAGCATTTGAAGTAAAAAGCAACTGGATTTGAATCCTTGTGTGGACATCAAAAAGATGCTAGGTACATCTACTTTACAGTTTCCAATGCTAACCATCATTCAATTCTGCTTAATAATTGAGATAACTTATACTTGTCTAATAAAGCCCACACAAGCATAAATTTACATATACAGTCTGATGATGATCTTATATTACTTTTTTCTCAGATATTTATGACATTAATCATACGGTTTACGTATCCAATATTATATATATATGGAAGGCTAGACGTGACATTCACTACATTAGATATATCACTATTCGTAAACGTATTTATGTGTTAACTTGAATGTCATCGTTAATTTCTTTGGCACCATATACATTTGTTACTTACATTTATATAAAGATGTTTTTAGGAAAGCGTAAAAACATGATTTTGTGATCTTTACTATTTTTTAAAAGGATATTAGTAGTATACTGTTCTAAGTTCAACATATTTGTTATGACCAACTTGTTGTCAGAAGTATATAATGTGTTCAATACAATTTCTTTATGATATAAGTGAAGTTTTACGGTTGTGATGAATAATCAACATAACAATTCTGATATGATGACGATATGCTTAAATCTCGCGGTTATTTATTCAACAACCGATTGAATATTGTTGAGAAATTTTCTCTGTTTCCGATTGACCATGTCGGATAATTGAATAACGGTATCACGTTCTTAAACATGGGCATATGACTTTCAGTGATTAATACTGTGTGCTTTTATTATTATGAATGGCTTTATTCAACATTGTGTTTTTGGTACAATATAGAATTCTCAAAACAAAGTATTTCAACAAGTTTCCGTTTCTTACTTCTTGGTCGATCCTGACAACAAATATTGAAATCTTGTAGTGATACTGAGTAATCGACTTGTAAATCATTTAACTACGATTCTTGAATTGTGATTACACTACAATCACAATACAAGATTAGATTAAGCAGGAATTGAAGATAGTCCACCTCGCCAATTAGTGGTCGCTAGGTAGATGTTAGTAGTTCAGGAATCGATATATGAATTAACGTTTATTATTTTCAATGCATATTGCTAACCACCCTGATGTCTGTAATTGTAGTTTTCTGTAAGTTGGACAGCGAAAAGTCTTAAACCTTTCATAAACGTCCCTGAGTAGGTTATGCGAATAATAGACACAATGATGTGTTAAAACAATCAAAAACATGTAACTTGTTGAAATATCTAGATGGTAGGAACAGGTAGCCTAGATATTCAAGCAGGCCACCAGATACTCCATAAATCTCATGGTGGTTAATGAATATTCTTCATAGTCAGTCGTACAGAAAATAGTGTTCACTTTCGAATTCATATATTGAATGTAAATCCTTCTGAAGCGGTCGGAAGATTTTATGGACAATGGTGAATAGCAACTATTTGCAACTGGAAAAAATACTACAAATGTATGTATATATAGTATTCACAAGTTAATTAGCCAAAAGACAGGAATTTTGTTGTACCACTGTATATTTTGTACTGAAAATTCTTTCTTGTAACCAAATACATGGTACTGAATGAAGTGAGTATCGTTACTATCATCCCAAAATAAAAGTGCTTCTAGACTGTAAGTAATTATAAACTCCACAAGAATTTTAAAACAAGTCACCGAATCGATGATGAAGGACTATGTTACCAATTGTCTAATATTTGAAGTTTCAACTAACTTGATCAAACCTCACAGGTTATATACTTTCTAGCTTTTTATAGTTTACATCATGAACTCATCCTTTTTAGACAATCACTGAAAAGCTGAACAGCTGTTTCTTCATAGAATGAGACTGATCTTCAGAGATCACTTACTCTTTGGACAACTGAACCGAGATTTAATTAATGGTCTACACTTTTAACATGAATCAATCAGCGACATTGTTTAATCATCTTCCAATGTCATCGGTGAGTAACAGCCTTCTCCAGGTAAATTCGTCATATAAACTAAAAATTTAGTAGTTTCGACAACGTTCCTAAACTAATGCTTCATAGATCATCAAATAATCAGGAAGACAAACATAAATACTTAACTACATAGTTTTTCTATCCTAATCATTTGATCATAAAAGAACTAAAATGTTGAGACTTTAATTTCTTGTCTACCACCTCATTTCAATGACAACTATACATCGTCATCATAAAATTGACCCAAAAATACCAAGTTTCGAATCTCTTATTTAATGTTACATACCTCATATACAATTACCTTTGTTTTACATTTATAAAGACTCCTCAAGGTCAATCACGATAAGGTCACATTAGATATTAACGATTTACACACTCGTCAAGGTCTTTCATCACTAATACCTAAGCTGCATAACCTAAGTAGTATGTTATATGTAAAATATTTTGCTATCAAGAACTTAAACCATAATTTCCACAACATTGATCATTACATAATTTGATGACAAAAACGTGGAACCTTACGGTCATAAAATTGTGACTCAATGATAAGTAGATAATTTAAGCAAATCAGTTTATATTTGGAGAATCGACTTTTTTCCCAATTGTCATCGGTACGTTAATTTTCCTATTCCCTGACAAATATGAGTTAACTATTTTTAAACTAAGTAGGTTGTAAATATTTACATCGAAATAACATTTAATAGTAAGTGAAACCTCATTACCATAGAACATCATAGTAACTATTAAACAAGCCAATTAAATTCGTAACTACAATGTTTAAAGTAGATGTACAATATTACATGACTAGGGTAATAAGAATGACAATTTGTTGTTAAATTCAAAAGAATGACAGTATTTATTTTTAGTAGTCGCTTCATTAAACATTCAAAGAACTAAGTGTTTTGATTGATCATAGAAGTTAATGGAAAGACTCTAAAATCGATCAAATTTCAAACTCTTAAAAAAATTATATTCCATCTTTTGATGCTCTTCTTTATGAATATGTACAGTCTTGACACTCACTCGTTTACTTATGTTCTTATGAATGGATATTTATAGTACTTACTTAAGCCTGTTACTCCTCGTGAAGGAGCACTGGCCACCCACCAGTACTTTACATCCAACCCTGTCCTGGACAACCCTTTCCACTTCTTTCCGCTTCATATTCATCCTTTCCATATGTGCTTCTATTTCCTGACGTAATATGTTTTTTGGCCTTCCTCTTTTCCGTTTTCCCTTAATATACCAAATTAAGGCTTGTCTCGTGATGCAGTTTGGTGATTTCCGCAATGTATGTCCTATCCACTTCCAACATCTTTTCCTAATTTCCTCTTCGACTGGAAGCTGCTTTGTTCTCTCCTGCAGAATGGTGTTGCTGATGGTATCCGGTTAATGGATGTTGAGTATCTTACGTAAACAACCATTTATAAATACTTGTACCTTCTTGATGATAGTTATAGTAGTTCTCCACGTTTCAGCTCCCTACAGTAGGTCTGATATCTATCGTAACATAGCTTTATTTTCTTTAAATGTGATTAATAAATGCAAGATTGTATCACGCGAGACCGATAGCTCATGGGTTCGAATCTCAAGAGGTAGGATCATGAATACACACTGTTCAAGAGTCCCACAATAGGACGAAACAGCCATCCATTGCTTCCAGATTTTCCATGGTGGTGGTGGCTTCAATTAACTCATGATCTCAACTATTGAAAGATTGTATTAATTGTGTTGGTTTGTTCAAATGAGTTGTGTTTTTTTAAAAAGAAAAGAATAAACTAAAACACCGTTAAATTTTTTGATATCACATATAAGACCCCAAATATACTGGTGTTTATTTTTCTCTCTCATCTTGTCATAAAACTATATTTTACACAGGAATGGTCAATCTAATTGAATAGACCAAAAAATAATAAT